AAAAACACAAACCCCATTGGAACATATTTGTTTCAGTCATTGCTTTCAAAGAATAATCAATTGAATGCATCTAAGTAAGCAAAGGAGAAAATCAAGTAAAATTTTTACTTGGAATGGAAAGAAAAATAAAAGCATAAATAAGTAAACAACTTACCTTGAAATCTTTAGAAAGAAAAGTTGGTGACAAAAAGAGCACTTGTCAGACTCATAGGAGAAAAAAAGAAAGGGCTGAGTGGATACAATGGTGACTCAATAAGGTTAAGATCTAAGTCTAAGATAATGTTAAAGACTAAAGAGAAAAGGTGGAGTCATAGCTTGAAAGTCAAAGGTTGTACGGACTATGGAGGTTGAAGAATATGAGAAGAGTTTGAAGTTTGAAGAGTTAGAGTTTTTGAGAGTATTAGGGCAAGTAAGAATAGGAAAGGTCGGAAAGTGCGTTATGAGTGGAGTAGGATTATTTTTACTTCTAGAAAATGATGAGTTAAAAGAATCAATTAGTTAATTAGAGAAAATTAGTCAATTATTAGAGGTATAGGTGGGATTGGGAATTGGAAAATGGAAAACAAAATAAATAAATAATAAATTAAAAAATTTTAAATTTTTAGACGGGTAAACGAGTCAAACCTGTTAACCTGATGGGTCAACCCATTATTGACCCATGACCGGTCGGGTTCTCTTAACAGGTTATTAACGGGTCACAGATCATAAATATATAACCCTAACCCATTTTAAACGACGGGTAATGGGCGGATTAACGGGTTGAGTAAGAAATTGTCAGGTCTTCAACCTATTTATATTTTATAAGCCTTCGCTGGTGTGGATTCTTTTGGGCCTTAGTATTGGGTCGGGCCTAAGAAGTGGCCTGGTCTTACAACTAGCAGTCTAGCAGATGTCTTGGGCAAGGCGGAAAGCATAGTTTTGGTTGCTAGTTTGGCTTTCTTTGCTTTGTTCTATTTTTATTTCATTTTTTCGGCCTAGTTCTTCTCTTTTATCACATACCTTCTCTAATTTGAAAATTAATAAATTCGATATTTATTCGTCTGTCTCAATAACATACCCTTAACTGAAATAAAGACTTAGTGATGGAACCGTATAAAATCCTTTACTCAACATGAAATCTCTATATATTCTCTATTTAAACGCAACCTTGTAAGGATCATGTAGTTTTTGACTCATAAGTTGTTAAGCTAGTAGTGATAATTATGATGTCAATTATCACAATAAGTAAAGATAACACTTTATA